ATTTGGAACCGAGGGACTCTCGCCTACCTTGTCGTGGGTGTCGCGCCGGTTGTCCCTCCCACCACGCTAGAGAAAAGCGTGTATAGGCAAACCACCGACTCGACACACATGCCGAGGTAGGGGAGAGAGAAAAGGTTCGAAAATCAAAAGAGCATTTTTTTTCTATTTCCATCTCTATCTTTTTTTTTTTGAAAGCTCTCCACAACTCTTTTTTTTTTAACTTCCTCTTTTACTTTTTTTTTTGCTTTCTCTCTTTTTTTTTTAATAAAACATATAAAAATACTAATATTAATATTGATACTAATAACTATATCAATATTAATATTAACATCAATAACTAACAATAATAGTTATTAATAATAACAGATAATGACAACAATGAATGAAGGAATTCGAGAGAAGAAATTCTTTGTTCGGAGATGTGTGGTTTTGAGGAGTTAGTGGGCTCTGAATTCTCCTTTTCATTTGAATATAACTTGATCTTTCTCCTCCTTGATGAGGATTTGTGTTAACTCCCATCACTTCTACCATGTCTTCTTATTATGTTCTGGTGTTTTTTTTTATTGAAACATATCTCCTATGCTTCTTGACCGATCCTTCATTTGCTTTCTTGGAAGTACATTCACTAGCATCATTACTGTGAGAACAGGAGTCTTTCTTGAGTGGATGAGTTAATTACCACATCAACCTTCAAAGGATTAGTTACTTGAATGACATGCTCTGTGAAGATTCACTTTCATCTTCCCTTTCTTGCTTCAGAATATAAAAATCTTTAATGGATTCTTGAAGCTTTAAAATCTCCACGTTTCCAATGCCATATATCTCATATCCCTTAAAGCTTGTAGTGGAGAAGGTCAAAACATTTCTAAAAAAAAAGTAGCACGGATGCCGTGGATTATAGATGATGTAGGAGCTTCATATATAGATTTTAAAACAACAAACTCTTGGCAAATTTCTGTCAGATAAATCTCATTTTTGAGATTTGCAAGGTTCTGTGATTCACAAAAAGATGATCTGGACTATTACACTCACGCTGGGACCAACATTCGTAAGATCCTGCCGATCAGGAATTAAGCATTTATCTCCTCAACGACCTCTGCATCTCCAACCCATCCAACAAACTTCTTATTCTCTCTTCCCAAAATCCCAGACAAAGAAATCGCATCTCCTCCATGATCTTATTTAGCTAATAGTTTTATCTCTTTACACTGCTTTCTTTCCCTGAAGCCCCCTGAATGTTGACTGATATCTAAAGCTGCATGCTTCTCCAAAATATTTCTCCGGTTGATGCTGCCAAAATCCACAAAATCTTTCCAAGCAAAATACATGCAGTTTCCCTCAACATAAGCTGGGCCAATTCATCAGATACTTTTCAGGATGGTGAGGTGGAAGTTTCTTCTTATGGAACAATGAGATCTTGAGGGATGGAAATGCCTGAAGCCATATACTTGAAGATGAGAACTTGGTATTCCAACTACTGCCGTTGGGAAGTAGTAAAGGGGCTTCTTGAAGTGCCTCTCCCACTTATCATCTTCTCTTGCATGAGCTACAGGTAGGAATAAGAAGAGTAGGCAAGAGGAAGAGAAACCTTATAGCTGGGATCATTTGTTTCCTTGCTGTACAGGAACAGGGGATCCAACAAGAAGCTACAGAGATTTGGCAAGGAGAAGCTTGCGGTTTGGTATGGAGTTGACCTTGCAAGATGTATACAGGGGCTGGATCGGCATGGAGCAGGTGGGGAAGAGAGCTGCATGGAGTGGAGTACAGGCCGGAGAAACGTGAGAGCTCAGGTACAAGCTCTGGATTGGAGAGAGATGGAAGGGAGCAATGGATTTGTCGCTTGGACATGAAGAGCTGCTTAAGGCGTTTGTTCCTCTGGAGTTGGAATGAAGCAGCGTCCCTTTTGTTTTGATTTAGTGATTGGGCAAGAGTTGAGGCCAGCTGTAATGGAGGAGATGGATTGACGGGAGTTCAGCGAAAAATGGGGACTTGACAGAAGTTTGATTGATACGAGGTAATACAAAATAATGAGATTTGAAATCTCATTTGGCTTTCCATTTTTTTTTGTTAGATTCATAGGTAATGCTAATAATGATTTGCTATTATTAGTAATAGCATTAAATGAGGATGACAATGATGCATCGGTCAATGAAAACGATCTTGATTTGCGCGATTTCATTGAAATTTGTGCTTTTGCCTCGTTTTACGTGTAGATTTGCCGAATATCGGAATTAGACAAATTAATAGTTGATTTAGGGTATTGCTGATGTCCCGGTCGCAATGGAGTAGTCCGTTCCTCGATCGGAGGTCATTTGATCATCGTCGAGGTCTTATTTCCCTCGTAATTCATACCTTCACAACATCTTTGAATAGTCTTTGAAATTTGCGACTTTGCCTTAAACGATCCAATTTGATCAAATAAAATGTAGACTCTTAATCCCGACGACGTTCCGGACGCAATGTCGCTTTCCGTTTGGCAATCGGACGTCATGTCGTCTCCGAATAGACAAAATTCCTTGACATGCGCGTTTTCGCATCATATTTGGATCGTCTTTGAAAATTACGACACCACCTCAAACGATCCAATTTGATCAAATAAAATGTAGATTCTTAATGTCGACGACGTTCTGGACACAATAACGTTGTCCGTTCGTCGATCGGACGTCGTTTGATCATCGTCGAGGCCTCGTTTTCCTCGTAGCGCATGCCTTCGCATCATATTTGAGCCGCCTTTGAAATTTTTCAACACTTCGGACAATCCAAATTTATTAAATAAAATATATATTTTGAATGTCGGGGATGTTTCAGACGCAATGACACTGTCCGTTTATCAATCGGACGTCATCTGGGCATCTTCGAGGTCTCATTTCTGTCGTAGCGCAGACCTTTATATTATATTTGCATCGCCTAGAAATTCACCACCATCTCGGATCATCCAAATTTATTAAATAAAATGTATATCCTGAATGTCAACGACATTCCGAACACAATGGCGTTCTCCGTTTGTCGATCGGATGCCGTCTGAGCATTTTCGAGGG